TGTCTCTAACCCCCCCACCCCACCCCCCACCCCCACCCCCCCATACAGTGGTACCTTTCACTCCCTCCCACAAACAGGGCTGTGACAAACAGGAAGATTTCCATTAAAACACAGAAGTGAGGCAGATATTTCTCTTCGTCTTTCGTAAACAGAAAATCGATTCCCTTTAGTCAGTGGAACGTCCTACAGCAAGCTTCACCCAGCTGTGCTCACACTCACACACACTCACACACTCACACACACACAGAGACTCTCACACACTCACACACACACAGAGACTCTCACACACTCACACACACACTCACACACACAGAGATTCTCACACACTCACACACAGAGACTCACACACTCACACACACACAGATACTCTCACACACTCACACACACAGAGACTCTCACACACTCACACACACACACAGAGACTCTCACACACTCACACACACACACACAGAGACTCTCACACACTCACACACACACAGACACACACACAGACACACACACACACTCACACACACACAGAGACTCCACACACTCACAACACACACCACACACACACCACACCACACACAGACACACACACAGACACACACAAACACACACACACTCACACACTCACACAGACACACACACACACAGACACTCACACAGACACACACAGAGACACTCACACACACACAGACACACACACACACACACACACAGACTCACACACACACATAGACACACACACAGACACACACACACACAGACACTCACACAGACACACAGAGAGACACACACACACACACACTCTCACACACATAGACACACACACACACACAAAGACACAGACACTCACAGATACACACACACACACACACACAGACTCACAGACACTCACACACAGAGACACACACAGACAGACACACGCACGCACACTCGCAGACACACTCACACAGAGACACTCACACACACACACACACACACAGAGTCACACACACAGATACTCACACAGACACTCACACACACTCACACAGACACACAGACACACAGACACTCACACACACACACAGACGCTCTCTCGCACACACGTCCTTTCAGCAGGTCCCACTCTCAGGTGAGATCCCATTCACAAACTGGACATCAGTGCAAACTAATGGCGCAAAGACTCCGAAAGCAAAACAGGTTCAAACAGCAACACTGCACAGAAGTAAAGGCGGTCCGTACAATTCACATCAACTTAATAGATTAAGTGTTAAAAGACTTCACTTAAAATGTAAAGCACTTTTTCCCGCAATTCCAAGTGATTGCTTTTAGTGAATATTATTCTTTGTACAAAAAACTATTAAATATACAAAAAAGAATAAGTGAACACATCATATCCGGCCGCGTGTTCCAGATCTCACGAACGCATCCTTTCTCAACGTTTCCCTTTGTTTTCCCAATTCTGTGCTTGCCTTCTGGATTGTGTTTTTTTTCTTTTAGAAATGATTTGCAGGTAAAGCTTCGACACTCTACCCCCCCCACCCCCCCTTCCCCCCATTCCCAGCCACCCCCCACCCCACACCCCAACACCTTCACCCCCTGTAATTACTGCATTGTGAGCTGATGTGGAAATGTCACATCCCAATTGGGAATATGTTGAGGCTGAGATCATATGATGATTGTTGGGGAGTGGCAGAGACACGAAGATGGGCAGAGAGAGTGAGAGACAGACAGTGTGAGAGAGAGAGACAGACAGACAGAGAGAGAGAGTGAGAAAGAGAGAGAGAGACAGAAAAAGGGGGAGAGAGAGACTTTGACCACCAGCCAAAGCAGAGGCAGACAGACACACGTACACAAACATATATAGAGTGAGAGACACATACACAGGGACACAGGTGGACACAAACATAGTTACAGAGTGAGGGGACAGGGAGAGGAAAGAGGAGAGGTGGTGGTGGGGATGGGGGCGGTGTGGGAGCTCTGTACCTGAGCCCAGGACACAGTGAGACTCGGTCACAGCCGTCAAATGACAGAGGACATCAAGGCTCTGGAGGGAGGGAGGCTCCTGGTGACAATCAGATTGATCATTCACTGCAATTCACAGGCTCTCTCTCTCTACTTCCGTCTGTCTTTCTCTCCATCTTTCCATCTCTTTGTCCATCTCGTTCTTTCACTCTCTCTCTCTCCATCTCTCGTTCTTTCACTCTCTCTCTCTCTCTCTCCGTCTCTTTTCATCTATCTTCTCTCTCCCCCCCCACCCATTGTTTCGCCCACAAAACAGTCAAAACCGCTTTACAGCGTATCCTGCGAAGAGCTTTGAGACGTCTCGACGACGTGATAAGGCGCTAGATCAAATGCAAGGATTACTGCTATAATTCTCTCTCTCCCTCTAAGGCCTGTGGCGATCGAGAAATAAACTCATATAAAAAAAACGCGTGCGTTGTTGGCAAAGTCGGTGATGCTGAGAAGCTGCTTAAAACGCCCGAGTCTCTGAGTGTCGCCTCCTCTCGGCGCGAGGATGGGTGTTGCTTGGAGCAGGTGAAATGGAAGCCGAGGTTCCTGACAGCTGGGGTGCATTTAGCAGCGAGAGCGGAGAGGGAGAGAGAGAGAGAGAGAAACATGGTGCGGACAGAGGGGAAGGGGGGAACGGGAGAAGACAATGGATGAATAAGATGTGGGGTGGGGGTTGGGGGGGAATGATAGGCAGTGTGTTGCGTTGTGCTGGGTATTAAAGCGAGAGAGTGAGCACAGAGGTGAGTGAGTGCAAGAGCTGGAGATCGCAGCTTAAAAGCAGAAAAAGCCTTCGCTCTGCCCTGTCTCTGCAAATATCCCTCCTCTCCATTGCCATTCCCTCTCTCCCTTCACCCTCGTAGAACCAGGAGATGATGCCGGGAGGAGGGGGGGGGGGGGGGGAGGGGGAGTGGGGGGGTGGGAAACGAGAGAATTCCACCTGGATCGCACATTATATTCTAGGCATTTCTGAGTGGGCAGAATTGGGTCTTAAACCTGAAGCCCATATTAAGGACTTGCGGAACCGAGGCTTCAAAGTGAGGAGGGAGTTTTAAGAATTTGTTCATTATTCTCTGAGTGTCTGAATCGCTGAGAGAATCAGGTAAGTCTAGATTTCTTAAATGCCCCCCCCCCCCCCCCATCCACCTGCACCCACCCACCTGCACCCACCCACCCCCCAAATTCTCAGAAATCGCAGAGAACTGACATCTACTGAAAGAGCAGGGACAGAGCATTGGTTTACTGGACAGGATAGGGTTAAAGAGCCAGGGTGGGTGGGGTGGGGTTTTTTTTTAGAGGTGGGGGGAGGGGAGGGGGAGGGGGGGGTGAAGGGGGCGAACAGACCACAGGGAAGGGGTCGGGGAGGGGGGGCAAAGCAGGGAAGATGAGGAGGAAACAAACAAAATAATTATTGTTAGAATCTTCACTCTGCACCGCCAGTGGTGGGTAATTTGCTGCGAATTGGAGCTTCAGAGAGAGTCGGATCAGGTGCGCCGCGTCGGGGCGGGTGTTGAACGGGGAGAGAGTGGTCTCTTGGCTGCGGTGTGAATTTCAGTGACAGTCAGGACTTGGAGGTTTGTACATAGCTACTCAGGGATGGTGATAGACTGGGTGGTGGGGGGGGGGGGGGGGGGGGTGAGGGGAGAAGTGAGGGGTTGAGAGGTGGGGGTGGGGGGGAAAGAGATGGACAGCGACGACCTTCCTGGTGAAAGGGTATCTTTCCTACGAGGCAGCGCCAAAAACTGCTGCTATTGTTCCTCCGGCTTCCTCTGGTTCTACAAGAAGTGTCCGGGAGGAGCTTTCACAGTCACCCAGAAACCCCCCCCCCCACCCCCCCTCCCCGCACCCCCCTCTCCCCCCCCCCCCCCCACCCCCAACACACCCACTTCCCAATTTCACCCGGTCAAAACTTTGTATCCTTCACCTGGGAATTTCCATGTGTAGGTGGGACGCATGGAATTCTCATTTGGTTTGGAGACCAATGATGGCAATGGTTTCCGCATGTGGCAGACACCCAGCTGACCCCTCCCCTACCCCAAAAAAACTCCGGGGGCTTGAGTAAGCAACTGCCCCCTCCCCCTCCTTTGCCCCGGCTTCTTTGGAAGAATTAAGGCAAGGAAAGGCCACGAACAGGCGGAAACCCTTCACTGCTCTCTCCACTGCTTCATCCTCGGCCCACCGAGGTGCTCATGTCCACAGTTGACACACTCCCGCCATCTAGTGGCGAAGTCTTCCTACTGCAAAGCCAGTCTCCGGTAAGTGTGAACACAGAGTTTATTTTGCGCCGTGTGTAAAGGCAGGTGATACAGCGGGAAATTACAGCTCTTCGTTAGCCGCCAATGAAAAGGGCTAATTGCACAATAAATAAATCCCTTTTATTGATACAAAGCGACTCCTCTCAGCGAGTGGAACCTGAGCCCCCAACTCCGGGGTGGGGTGGTGGAGGGTGGGGGGGTGGGGGTTGGGGGGGGGGTTGCAGAATTACCATACAACAACTCTTTCTCATCAGAGACTGTGATGAAGTCAGTGACCACCCCCCCACCCCACCCTCCGCCAAATCACCATCAGTGACCAGTAAAGTATGTGAGTGCACGTGTGTTTCTGTGCCTATTTATATCAGCGATTATGTGATTATGTACACAACACTTGATATGTATCTGTGACTGTACATATATATATATAAATGACAATATATTATACTGTGTTTGTACGTATGTGTGTCTGTGTAAGAGTGGGTGTATATATATATGTCTGTGTGGCTATATGACTATATATTATGTACGACTGTGTGTGTTTATTGGGTCTCTTCAATGCTGGGCTCCTGGCCCCACCTTCACTGTCAAACAAGTGAGCGGTGTGGAGAGTGTGGATTAACGAGCGACAGAATTGATCCCGATACTGGGTGGGTCTGGGTTGTAATGAGCAGCAGGAGCCATGTGCTGTGGCGGAGTGTGTGGCATGTGGCGTGCGAGGTGCATGTGTGGTTTGTGTATGCGTCGGGGAGTGGGGGGGGGGGGGGGGGGGGCGGGGAGACCACACAGGGTGATGTATAATGGTGTCTCGCAGGTTAGAAGTAAACTACCTGCTGGCTGCCCTGCTGTTGCCTTTGCAGGTTCAGATACTCCTCTCGCTGTTTGTTCATCTTCATCTTGTCTGTGCTTCCGTGCATCGGCTTCAGTTTGGGAGCGGGAGGGATGGCTGTTCGGGTGATGGGGGATGGCATGTTTCCACCCTGGGATATAGAGAGAGAGAGAGAGAAGGGATGGGGGGAAGACAGTGAGATCAGGACAAATCGTAACTTGCATCACAGTCACTGTGTTCAAAGCCGGAGAATCATCAGTACAGTCAGCGCTGACAGCAAAGCCCAACACCAGAGAGAAACAGACAGACAGACACCCAGTTCCACCTCTTGAGACCCACAAATAAATTCTCTCCCCCCCCCCTCCCCCCCCCCGCCGCTCTGTGAGGAGGGAAGATATTTTTCTTAAAACAATAATAATTTGGACTGTTTGTTGGGCTGTTTGTTGGGCACAATTTGGACTGTGCCCAATTGGCTGCCTCGTTTGGTCTGCAAAACATCCAGTGGATTCTGTCAAGCGTTTTGAGACCTCTCGACGATGCGATAGCGCCGCTGTATCGAACACGAGGATTATTTATTCCTAATCTGTTTAAAATCCAAACGACTGTTCCGCCAGTCTCCGACACTGGAGAATTTACTCTTATCCCAATTCCCTCTCCTTTCCTTGTAAGATTTGACGCCAAAGAGTCTAGGTTTTATATCCCAGCCGACGGGGGAAACAAATCTCGCGGCTTAAAAACTCAGCAGAATTTTTAAATCCTCGCCCGTCCTGCGAGAGCAAAACTGGGAAAAAAAACACCCAATTTGGAGCCGCGAAGTCCTTGGGCGTCATGATAATTTGCCAGTCGTTTGGGTTTAAAGGGGCCCGTGGATCATATGAGCAAAAAAAGTGTTATGGGGCAGAACGAGGTGTCCCTTTAAATCCTCACACACCACCACAGATAGGTCCCACAACCGTCCTCCCCCCACCACCCCACTGGAGTATCAATGTCCCTTTAAGAAGTAACTATCACAGCCACAAAAGTTGCGACCAGCTTCATAGAATCATAAGAATCCTGGAATATTACAGCGCAGAAAGAGGCCATTCGGCTCACTGCGTCTGCGCTGGCTCTTTGGAAGAGTTTCCCCGTCAGTCCCACTCCCCCGCTCTTTCCCCAAAACCCCCGCAGCGTTTCCTTTTCGAGTACCTGTCAGATTCCCTTTGGAAAGTTGTTGCTGAATCTGTCATTGAAAAGGTTCATTGGAGGAAACCAGAAAATCCCGATTTCAAAAAAGGATTAGTGAAGCGAGAGAGAGAGAGAGCGAGAGAGAGAGAGAGAGAGAGAGAGAGCGAGAGAGAGACCGAGATCAGACAGAACTGAGATCAGTGACAGATTTTTATTCATCAAACTCTACGAGGGCAGGTACAAGGTTTTAGGAGGAGGATTCAATTAAAAAAGCACTTAAGAAGTAAGGCAGCAAAACTGCCGATTTTGGTGTGCGGTCGACAGGCAAAGGGAGGAACAGAGACAAGGCGTCGGGAGCGAGGAGCCTGAGGGAGGTCACAGCGGAGACGGCGGTCAAAGGGCAGAGGGAGGAGAGCGGAACCTTTGCGTTGCCGGGTGGGATGTGCGGCTTCGGCAGGAGCGGGGGCTTGGTCCTGGAGGTCGGAGACTTCTTCGTGGGGGAGGGGAGAGGCTGGACGTCTGCCGCGGCACTGGCCTGACTCTCTCCCCCCGCTCCAGGCGGACGGTCACTCCCAAACAGCTCGGGGTCATCGACCAGCTGCTCCAGGGACTCGGCAGGCTTCGGCTCGGCCAGGAACCCTTTGGAGAACAAGTACTCGGTGGAGGGGTGTTGGCTGATCTCACTGAGGGTGGATTCCAGCTCGCGGATGGTCTCCTCCAGGCTGTCGAGCCGTCGGTAGGTCTTGTTCTTGATGTCCTCGGTGCGGGGGTAGGTGTTGGCGGTGATCGCTGGGGGCTTCGGGAGCTGCTGGATCTCGTACTTCTTCACGGTGGCTGTCTGCAGTCGCCCCGTCTCCCGGTCCATCTTCTCCTCCTCCTCGTAGATGACAACCTGCAGGGTTTTCTGCCCGGTCCTCGTGCCGCACTGGATGGCCTTGGTCAGCGCGCTGAGCTGCTGCTTGGGGAACCGGATCTTCAGCGGATTGGAGTCTTTCTCCGGGACACACGGTCTGTCCGGGGCGTTGCTGTCCGGCCGTTTCACATCCGCTGTCTCGGGGGATTGAGACCGGTCGGCCCTGGGCTCAGTGAGGCCGAAGCCATCAGCCGCCTCCTCGATGGGAGCTAACGCTGAACCTTGCTGCTCGCCCGGGATGGCAAGTGATCGACAGTAGCCGCTCTCCCCCATTATCGCCTCGAATTCTTCGTCGCATTCCTCGAAAACGGTGGACAGTCTCTTGTAGGCCGTGCAGATGTCCATGGGCTCCGGGAAGATGATTATTATCGGCTTCTTGTCCAGCGAGACGATGGGTCCTTGATTCTGGTCCCGAGGAACGAACTCCACGTCCGGCGACATTCCCTCCTTGTGCGAGGACACGCTCAGGGTCTGCACTCCCTCGCCCTTCGCGCTCACTATCTCCTGGACCTCGCTCCCCGACAGAGCCTGGATCTGGCTCTCGGTGATCATGAAGGCCACGTTCTCCTGGTCCTGCCCGGCCGGTAAGCGAGCCTCAGCCCGAGGGGACGGGGAATCGAGGTCCTCCGAGGAATCAGAGCTGGCGGGTTCACCATCGTCACACGGCTGGGCGGGTTTCGCCCGCGAGCTTTCCTGCTCCACAATAAGCACATGCTCAGAGCTGCTCAGAGGATCGTAGCTCAACTCGAGACCTTCGGGCTGACCCTCACAGGGGACAAACAGGCCTGTGGTTTCTGCGCTCGATTCCTCCTGTTGGCTCCACGCGGTTAAAGAGTCCAATTCAATTGCGGGCACTTCACAGACCTCTGAGGCTCCATCGTCTCCCTGCGCGTCGCTGTCTCCCGTGGCTCCAGGCTGGTGCTCCTCAACATCGGGGGGTTCAGGAGACGAGGATACGGAGGTCCAGGAGGACCGAGGACTCAGCACAACGGCAGGAAGCTGTGCCGAGCCTGGAGACACCGGGGTCTCTATTTCCTACACAAGCAGATGGCAACAACACAGCGAGTGAATGAATAAAAACAGTGAAGCGCAAAGTGACGGTCACTCCCGGAGGTTCACACTGTCCGAGCCGTCAATCCCGGCCTCACAACCTGGTGCACTTGCCGGTTCGTCCGTACCCACCTGTCTGCTCCCTCCGTTCAGGGGTGGGGGGGGGGACTCCGGCCTCCTCCGCGGCCCCCCAACCCCCCCACGCGCGGCCTGGCCCACCCCACCATCGCCGGTCGGGCCTTCAGCCCCTCTGCCCCCCCACGCTTTGGATCTCCTACCCCGCAGCTGGTTACAGATGCAGCGTCTGCTGAGGCGAGAACCCAGAGCAGCTTTGCCCGTCCACCACATGCACACAACAGGGATGTGTCTGACAATGGCTGTCCATCGGTGGCAAGAAATTCTCCCCCTTTCCTCACCCAGGGTCAACTCCAGCCCCCACTGCTGCCCCGGCTGAGATCGGCTCTGTGTGCGGGGGTGGGGGGCAAGCCCCGATTTTACATACAACTTCGAGGCAGTGGACACAAAGGCAATCGGCTGTGGCAGCAACGTGTAAACAGCCCCGAATCTAACTGACTCTACAGCAACGTGAGAGTGTTTGGCAGCTTGTGACGGAGCGGGTAGGTGGGTTAGTGCGGGGGGTTGGGGGGGGGGGGTGGGGTGGGGGGAGTGGAGAGACAGCTCAGGAATTGCAGGACTCCGAGAAGCGACTTCAAAAGCACCGATTGCCGTGCAGTCACTGGGGCTCTGAACCCCAGAGACGTCAGTAACACTGCGCCAAACACTGCGCCAAACCCCCGCCCACCCCCACGCACATACACACACACCCCTCCCCAGGGAGGGAGAGCAAGAGAGAGAGAGAGAGGGAGAGAGAGAGCAGCACCCAGTGTGAGGTTAGTGAGGTCAGTGGAGTGAGAGCAGATCAGGCTGGTTAGAGGGCAGCAGGCAGAGGCTTTACCTTCCGTCCTCTGGCTGGGGTCGCCTCGCGCCTGATATCTGTGACCTGGTCAGTTACGGCCTGTGAGCCTGTGAGAAGCACAGGGTTTCTCTGAAACACCTGGTATATGGGGGTGGGGGTGATGGAGGGGAGCGGGGGGGAGTGAGGGAGAGAGAGAGAGAGAGAGAGAGAGAGAAGGTGTGAAACCAGGGCTGGAACGGTGTGTAAAACAAAATGCTCCAAACATGGGCTGGAGATGAGGGCGGAAACCCCTGACCAGACTGACCTGTGTGTGTGGGTGTGTGTGGGGGTGGGTGTGGGGGGGTGGGGGCTGACATGGCGCTCGCACACACGGCACTGCGTGACTGGCGACAAATACGCTGTGGTTCTTGTTGCTGCATTGCAGGGCAGAGAGTTCCCGAGGTCTGGCTTCCCGCTGATACCGATGAAGATCTTTGTCGAAGGAAGATGGCTGAACTCTGTGGCCGGCGCTGGTGGCTGGGCTTGGGGCTGGGCCCTCGCCCTCTCCTCGCGCCCCCTGTCCCACCCCTGGCGGCCAAGTCTTCATCCACAACGTCCACCTGCTCACAAAGTTTCCCCCAAAACCCTTTGCCTTTCCTTTCAGTCTTGTGAACCTCTCTGTCTATCTCTCTCTCTCTCTCCCTTCATGGCCCCCTCCCCCTTCTCTCTCTCTTTCTCTCTCTCTCTGACCATTAAATAAGAAGCTGCCTTTTGTTTTCTCACTACTCGATGAACACCCCCCCCCACCCCACCCCCAAACCATTGCCTTTGCTGGGACTTGTTCGCAGATGAAAGGCTCCACGTGCTGTTGCGATGGACAAGCAACCAGTGGAGATGTCTCTCAGCCTCAGGGCTCACTGTCTAGACCAGATCTGTCTCTTCAATCAAGAGCTGATTCGAGGCCATTCCTCTCAAACCAATTCGGAGGAAGAACAGATAGCGATGCAAGACCAGCGTCTGGGGGGCAGGGGGCAGGGGCAGGGGGCTGGGGGGTAGACAACCCAACCGGGCCTGGAATTTGTCAGCCGTCCATCATGTTGAGGTTGGATTCCTTGTGGGTTTCGTTCAAGAGTCACAAAGAAAAAAAGCTTGAAAGCTGAGGCTGGACACAAGCAAATCAACACAAACACAGGGTCTCCGTCTCACTCCGGTACCAGGAGACATTCCCCCACGTGGAGAACTCCCAATGTCTCCTGGCCGCAGCCATGTCCACCGACCGGCCAGAGCCCCCACACGCGCGCACACACCCTACCTCCAGCTCGGCCATGATCCTCTCTTCCTCATCCTCGTCATCGCGGACGGCAGAGGCCACGATGGGGGGGGGCGTGGAAGGGGGCTTCACATCCGACACCGTGCGCCGCAGCTTGACGTGTGGTCTCTGGGTCTCTGTGTCATCGGACTCGGCTTTCTGTAACAGGACAGCGGCTGATGGGACGAGGAGCTCCTCAAACATCTCCTGAATACCACCCCCCCAATAGGGGCTAGAAGCTCAACACCGACTGCATTCCGTCTCCTCATCGCCCCCCCACCCCCACAAACCCCACCCACAATTCATCAAAATACACAGCCCCTCCCCCGGAAATCCGATCTCTCTCCCCCTCCAACCCAAAAAAAAATCACCCCCCACGCCCTCCCAGAACCTCCCTCCCCACCCCTCAAAAATCCCCCTCCCGAGAAATCCCCCCCGTCAGGTATCTCCGCCCTCCCCACTCCACCACCGTGTGAGGTGCCCCCGCACCCACCTTCAGGCTGGCCTCCTTCTTGTTGGTGATGATGACCTCTCCGGAGCGGCCGGTGGTCAGGCCGTGAACTGAGGGGAAGCTGCGGCGAGGGGGGGGCGGGGGCGGGGACTTCGATGGCTTCTCTGTTCGGTACTTGTGGACCGTCAGCTCCTCTGCAAAGCAACAACATCCCGTCAGTCAGCAACGACCAGACCCCCCCTCCGCCCTCGGCCCCTCTCCGCCCTCGGCCCCCCTTCGTCCTCGGCCCCCTTAGGTTTCCGCAGGTCAGTAACCCGGCGATCTGGGTCAATTTCTCTCCTGCCCGGATCAACCGGCCATCACCTGCGATTCTCAGTCTAAACCCAAATATCTTTCTCTACATTTCATTTCTCTACCGTTTCCTTTCCTTGTTTAAAAAAGAGAGCGCGCGAGCGAGAGAAAAAGGGAGAGAGCGCAGTGAGAGTGAAATGGGAATGAGTCTTTCCCAACAAGGACTGGCGATTGTCCCCATCGTGTGGGGAGGGAAAGGGAGGAGGTTCCGATACCTGAATGTCGTCTTCCATTGGTTTCAATCTTGGTGGCGGTGGTTTTTTGAACGTGTTGTGGTTTGGCCGGTTTTTGCTCGGTCACCGAGACGCCGGGCGGTTTGGGTTTGTTACCGAACCCCAGATCGGGAATGGCTTTCATCAGCTCGGCCTGAGTCTCCTCCAGAAGCCGGTTAATGTCCTTGTTACTGAACTGGGTCAGGCTGGCCCGCTTCTCCTCCCAGTCCCTCTCAGCCGCCTGCGAGCACAAGGAGGACACTAATTCAGTGAGCGAGTCGTAAACTTATGGACCCGGCTCCCGAGGGAGACAGACGATGGAAGCAGAGAGTGTTGTCTGTTTCAAGAACAAATGAGATAGAAAATAATATCTCGGGATATAGCATATAATATCTTAGGGTACATTTGGGACACGACATGTCAAGCGACTGCCAGGATGGTGGAAGGCGAGCTAGTTGGACCTTGGTCTTTATTTTCTACAAAATTATTTTCTATAACGTAAATTCTTATGTTCTTATGACAGTCTCACATCGCTGGCACTTTGCAATCAGCTGAAACAAATCCTTTCTTTATGGTGACGATTAATCAGACGTCAGCCTGACTGACGGCTGTGAATAACTGGACACAGAGACATGTTTCCATTTGCGCCTACAAAAGAAATCACAGTCTTTACAGTAAAACCCTGCGAGGCTTTGCTTTGAGACGTCTTCCTGACATGAAAGGTAAATTGCAAAGATTATTGTTTTGAAACAGGATCGAGAAAGTGAAGCCCAAACAAAGCTGTCAGACAAACCAAAGCAGCACAGCAAGGAAGCACAGAGCAATTTCGGGACAGACACCGGGAAGTATTTCTTTAACCAGAGAGACATTACTACGGGGACAGGGTTACCAGGAGAGGGGATGAGTCCAGGATGCTGGTGGATCAGGCCTGAGTTGGCAGGGTGGGGTTTACTGGGGCTTAAGCTATCTGGGGAGAGACCTTTGGATGAGATATTAAACCGTGTGCCCTGTTCAGGTGGAAGTAAAAGATCCAGCGGCGCTGTTGGAAAAAAAGAAAGGGAGTTTGTGTCCCTCTCTCCCGGTATCCTGACCGACACATCCCCCAGATCAAAGGGGCTCCTTGGCTGTTCGCGGGACTTTGCAGATGATTTAACAAGTCAATTGTGAAGCCCTGTAGCTTAGTGGTTAAAGCCCTCGCCTCGCGAGCGAGAGCACCTGGGATCGCTTCCCGGGAAGGGCAAAATGTTGGGCAAGCTTCCTCACTGCCCACGCCTCTGCTTACCCAGCAGTAAGTAGGAACCCGGTTGTTATCAAGTGCAACGATTATTATGTCCCGACGAACGGACCGATGGTTTACCTCGACAGAGATGACTCTGTCCGCGCTCCTCTTGTTCGAGGCCATCGCAGTTTCGTCCCCTCGGCTGGCTTGTGCTTGCCCCATCCCGGCCAGGTTTGGGGACCTGGAGGCGTGAGCTGGGGAGGAGTGGGCGAGGTGGGCCCCCGTGCCCGAGGGGTGGGGCTGCCAGGTTTTCGCGGGCGGCGTGTGTAATTCCTGGTAGTTCAGGGGCGGGCTGGTGGGAATTTCGAATTCCGAGCTCCGGGAATCCGAGTTTGTGTGTTTGGGCGACTGGACCGAGGTCTCCTCGCTGCCTCGCATCAGAGCGTCGTTAGTTTGCCTGGAAAGCAAATCCAATGTCAACGTTTAACTGACTCCATCCCCGGGCCCTCTCCCCGGCTCCGAGGCTGCAACTCCGTCACGAGGAGCCGGCAAGGCACACGGGCCGAATGGCCTCCTTCGTGGAGTCCTGTAGGTGTAGCGGTTGGAGCACTCGCCTCGCAGAGACCTGGGTCCGATTCCCGTGCGGGGCAAAACCTCAGGCAAGTTTCCTCACGCCACGTGCCTCTGCCCGCTCCCTCCGCTCAGCGGGCTCCGGCCTGCTCCGGGTCACCTGCCCGACCCGCCCCTACCATCGGCCGCCGGGCTCTCAGCCTCTCTGCCCCCACCCTTTGGAACTCCATCCCACAAACCCTTCGCCTCGCTCCCTCCCTCGCCTCCTTCAAGGTACGACTCAAGACCCTCCGTTTCGACCGAGCCTTCAGCCGCCCTCCTACCCCCTCTGCCCTCCCTCATCCCAACTCTGCCCCCCCGCTTTACCGGGGGGGTAATAAACCCTCAGAAATTCATAATTTGGCCACGACTGTCTGTGGGACGATTTCCTGCCGCATTTCGTCTACAAGATACACATCAATTCACTTTACAATATATGAGGTGAAGCGCTTTGAGACGTCTCAACGACATGATAAGGCGCCATATCAAATGCAAGGATTATTAATATTATATTATTATCTGCTCCTAACCCCAATCCTACGCGTGTCCCCCCCCCCCCCCCCCCCCGCCCCCCCACTCCCATGTGCTCGGCTAACAGAGTTCGGCTGTGTGTCCTCCGACCCCCCTCTAGCGAAGCCTTCAGTCCCTACAACCCTCCACACCTCCCTCCCTCACCTCAATCCCTCCACCTCACGCCCTCTCTATCATCACATCCCACCTGCAAACCCACCTCTTCGACCGCACCTATGGTCACCCCAACCCCCCCCCCATCCCCAAGCTGCCACCCACCCCCCCACCCACCCAAACCCCCGTCCCACCCCCCCACCCGAACTCCATCCCTGTGAAGACGTCGTATAAATACAAATAGTTGTTGTTGTTGTAGATTCCTACATTGGCCGCCACGTCTTGCCCCCAGTCACTCCACCTTACAGTATGTTCTGTGAGGCGCTTTGAGACATCTCGCGGCCGGGATGAGCTGCTGATGTCAAAGTGTGTGTGCACGTGTGTGCGTGTGCTGGGGAGAGCTGACTGTGTGTGTGCGTGTGCTGGGGGAGCTGTGTGTGCACGTGTGTGCGTGTGCTGGGGGGAGCTGACTGTGTGTGTGTGTATGTGCGTCACAGCCCAGTTCCCCAGTCTGCAGAGTAAGATGCGAGTGATTCTCCGGGTCGAGGTCGAGGCCGTCAAGTTCCTGAAGGAGGAGCCGCACAGGTTGGACCTCCTGCTCAAACGCTGCAAGTCCGTCACCGACTCACTGGGCTCACTCAGGAGGTAGGGGTGAAGGGTGGGGGGCATTGGCGGTGGGCGGGGGTGGCGGGGGGGGCTTTGGCGGTGGGGCGGGAGGTGGCGGGGGGTGGCGGGGGGGCTTTGGCGGTGGGGCGGGGGGTGGTAAATAATAA